GATGGATGGATGGATGGATGGAAGTTTGTATGTAATGTATGAATATAATATACAAGTTTCACTTTTTAAATGGAATTACTGAAATAAATCTACTTTTTCATGATATTCTAATTTTATGACCAGCACCTGTAGATATGGACTTAAAATCTAATATAAATGTCTCTTGAAGTTACTTGAATTTTAAGTTTAATCTTAACATAATTCAAAGATAAATTGAGCACCATTAGTTAAGACCAGCTGACTACAGCTCCTTGTACCTGTAGTTGGACCAATGTTTGAAAAGGCAAAGTGCAAATATAGTGTTTCTACATAAGACAGGAGATTACAATTTAGTAACCAGGATAACTGCTGGTGGGCCAAATCAAATGGCTTGGTGGGCCAAATTTGGCCCACGGACCCCACTTTGGGCACCTCTAACTTATGGGGGAAAAAAGCTCTTAGGCTGTTTTTACAAGTTGTTTGAAACTAGGTCAGAGATCATCATTTGTTTTATAGCAACTTTGCAAAGCAGCTGTTTTTAAACTGACAAAAAGATTATGATTTTTCATTTTAAATGGAAAATGAGCAATGATGAGCATAAGATATTTATCTGGTTTTAACCCCTCGTCTGCTGTTCTCCAGCTGGTGATCAGAGTCCACATGTCGGACGAGAGCTCAAAGACCATGATGGTGGATGAGCGGCAGTCGGTCAGACAGGTTCTGGACAGTCTGCTGGACAAGTCTCACTGTGGCTACAGCCCGGACTGGTCCCTTGTGGAAACTATCAGTGAGCTGCAGATGGGTAAGAGCGGCAGAGTTTTACAATTGGTTTGTAGTCTGTTGACGGGGTCTGTTCATTCTTCCTCTTTGTTTCCCTCCCTCCCAGAGCGCATCTTTGAGGATCACGAGAATCTGGTGGAGAACTTGTTAAACTGGACACGGGACAGCCACAACAAGCTGATGTTCATCGAGCGCATTGAGAAATACGCTCTTTTCAAGAACCCCCAGGTGACTGTTCGTTATTGTCTGCCTTCAGTTTGTGTAGTATGAGACACAAACACACACACACCACACAGACACACAGAGTTGAGCTGCATGCCTACACAGCAGCAAACGGAGAGTGTGTTTGAGATGGAAGTAGGTCAGAGCTCTAAAGCGAGTAAAAATGAATAATTTATTTAATGTTAGACGAGTTACTCTGTCAGCTTCACCCCCACTTACCGTCTATTCACTTTTTATTATTTTATCCAATCACTTTCAGAACTATTTGTTGGGGCGGAAGGAGACGTCAGAAATGATTGACAGGAACAAAGAAGCTTTACTAGAAGTAAGTCTGGAAAAAAAACTATTTTTCTAATATTTCTAAGGACTTGGAGCGTCATGTTGATTTATTTTGTTTTTGTGTCCTTCAGGAATGTTTCTGTGGCGGATCAGTGTCCGTGCCGGAGATCGAGGGTGTCCTTTGGCTCAAAGAGGATGGGAAGAAGTCGTGGAAGAAGCGTTACTTCCTCCTCAGGGCTTCGGGGATCTATTACGTCCCAAAAGGCAAAGCTAAGGTCAGCTGAGACTTAGAGACAGTGCACTGTCAGCCCACTTCCACACCACTCACACCAGATGAGACAGAACAGAAATGTGCGCCGGGGTTATGAGAACCAGATCTGCGCAGTCAGTCCTGTGGCATTTCCTGTTTTGGTCTTGAAGACTTTGAAGAGCAGCAAACAATGCGTGTCTTTTGGTATTTAATGAGCTGGAAGCTGAAACATTAGTGTGCCCAGTTCTTGTCAGTTAGGGTGACCAGATGTCCTGATTTGTGCGGGACTGTCACGCATTTTTCACTCTTGTCCCGCCGTCCCGCAAATTGAAATAATGTCCCGCATTTGACGGGGTCAAATTATGAGAAGTGAAAAACAAATACTTGTGAGGCGCGTGGGTGTAACGGAGGAGGAGTGTTCTTGCTCGGATACAGCCCGCGGACTCCGCGGAGCTCAACAACACGCGCTGGCTGCTTAGTCTGCTGCTGCTGTGGTGGTCAATGTAGACTTATCACCAGGAACGAGGCTTGAACTTGTACTAAAGTAAAAAATATATTATTTCTGTGAACCGCATGAGCTTCATTTCACGCTCTCACCGCTCAGATAGTTTCATTCCTGCTTTGCTAAACCTAAAAAAAAACTCGCACAGCTGACATGATTCAGCGAAAAGAATGAGTACATTTTTAAAGTCATAATAATTTAGCTGTAAATGTGTGTTGCGTGTTTGTGGACTAAAGTGTCTGACTGTTTTTCTCCTTTTAACCAGAGCTTCTATCAGTTGTTTTCTTTAATAATGCAGGTTCTGAATCTTTCCACATTTGAGTGTTTATCAGACAACTTGTCACAGCTTAGGCAGAGCAGAAGCTGCTTCTTTCATGAAAGGTTTCTTGCAACTTAAAACAGTCACTTAAAACTATGACGTTAAATGTTTAATTACCTTTTTTGATAAACTTGAATTATTTCATTGTTTTGCACTAACAGATCAATTAATGTAAAGTGAAACCTGCAATAAATTAAAATTTATGATGACATCATAATACTGGTGATGTGTCCCACATTGTCCCTCGTAAGCACCATTTTTGTCCCGCATTTGGTTTCTTGGGATCTGGTCACCCTATTGTCAGTGCAGCTGATATCTGCACTGCTAATGAAATTCATTTATTTCAGGATCTTTTTAAAGTGATGCACAAAGTCAGTCAACATGTGTGTCTTTATTATGTAACATTTCCTGCATGTCCTTTCTCTGCAGGCGTCCAGAGATCTCATGTGCTTTTTGCAGCTGGACCACGTTAACGTGTATTATGGTCAGGATTACCGCAGCAAGTACAAGGCTCCTACTGACTACTGCCTGGCACTGAAGGTGAGTGTCTTCAACCCCTGAGAGGAGAGCTTCACTCAGGAAACACACAGCCTAAAGCTCTTTACAAACATGAGACGTGCAGCTGTTTTTTTCTATCTGTCAATGCAAAAGCAAGTAATAACTAAGATATCAGTCACGTCTCTATTAAAAGAATGTAAGACCCTAGATGTGCATTGCACATCTTTTGATTGAAAATTCATGTTTGGTCACATTTCAGTAACTTTTTTTTTGACAGCATCCACAAATCCAGAAGAAGTCTCAGTACATTAAATACATGTGCTGCGATGATGTCAGGACCCTGCATCAGTGGGTGAATGGAATTCGCATTGCCAAGGTGGGCATCAGTCAAAGATGTTTCTCGAGACAAATTATCAGGCAAATGCATTGAATTATGTCTTGGTGTCTCTCATGCTGACTGTGTTTCTGTGCAGTATGGTAAGCAGTTATACGTAAACTACCAGGAGGCCATGAAGAGGACAGAGGCTGCCTACGACTGGTCCTCGATTTCTACTTCCAGCATCCGGTCGGGCTCCAGCTCTACCAGCATACCTGGTTAGTTTTACTGTCGAAGCACTGATGGTTTATTTGAATAGTTGTGGTTGTTTGTGTCTGAAAAAGAAAGTTAATTTAGCGAGCATCACGAGGATGATAAAGTTTAATTCTGACTGGATAAACAAGCTAATGGCTAGTCTTCAGCTAATTTTCTTACCTGTTTTACTAGGGGTGCAACAATACATGTACTAGTATCGAACAGTGCTTTAGGTTCAATACACACTTGTATCGAACAATACAGATTTTTAAAATTTACTTTATCAACTTGTTTTTTGAAGATGCTCTGTGTTGAAGGATCAGTGGATCTGTGATCGACTACTCCACCTAGGCTGCATTGTTGAGTGCAGATCCACTGAGAAACTTGCTGTTTCAGCAACATTTAATTTAAAAACTACTTTTGAGGTTAAACAAATGTTTATACTTAATTTCAACAAATTTTTTGTATCAAAAAAATATCGAACCATGAGACTAAAGTATTGAACTGAACCAAATTGTGGATTTTCTGTATCGTTGCACCCCTACTGTTTACTGGTGTTTGCAAAGCTAATGCTTTAGCTAGCAGTTAGCAAAGATGACCTTTTGCTCAGCTGTGCTCAACACTGTTTGAGTTCAACATCTTAGCTGATGAGGTGGGGGTGTTTGTTCAGCAGCCTGATGATTCAGACACTTTAAAAATGTTGGATCTCATACGTGTTGGATGTTGAGGATCACACAGGATGTTGTGCCTCAAGTTGCACTGGAAGTTTCTGCAGTTCTAAATAACCATAGAGTTCTGTGAAAACAACCATGTAAAGGTTGATAAAACTGTTTTTCTTATTCAGTATCAAATGTTTGAGACTGAAATTGTTTTTAAGACAGCAGAAATCCACTTTGGTCTCGATCCCACGCAAATTAGCAGTTAGCTCGTCATTCCAGTCTGAATTCAACCATTTCTTCTAGCTGAGAATGTTCAAAGAGCTATCTACAGGTAAGATATCAGTTGTTTGTAACCTCTCCACAGAACCACACCTAAAAAAATCAGAACTATTTAGGTTCATCGTTGAAGTTTGTCTTGTTTTGGCCTGAACTTGTGTGTAGAGTGGTGTACTGAGGCTGTAAGCAAAATGAAATGTGTTTGTGTCTCCTCAGAGTCTCAGTCCAATCATTCGGGTCACTCAGACAGCGGGGTGGACGCTGGCTCTTCTCACGGCCGCTCTCAGAGTGTGGTGAGCTCCATTTTCTCTGAAGCCTGGAAGCGGGGAACCCAGATGGAGGAAAACTCAAAGGTATGGCTTCCTGACCCCAGTTACAGGTGTGACACTACAGCCCTGTGGTTCATGTAACTGAGATGGTTTCTTCCCAGCAGACGAGGGTGGAGGTGTCCCGCGGGTCGACCCATTCCTCTCACAGCCACCGCCAACACAGCCAGCATTCAGTGGACCACCCCATCCTCACGCCGCCCCCGCAGCAGCCTCAGACACCGACTCCACCCCAGCCTCCGTCTCCTCAGCAGATGCCTCAGCCGCTGTTTCCTCCTCCACCTGAGTCACCGCAGAGTCCCTGTCAGCCTCCTCTGTCTCCACCGCCGCAGAGCAACAACGGCTACTTCATGCCCCTGCAGCAGGAGCCGCCGCCGGAGCTGACTCCTGCTCCTCCTCCTCCGCCGCCGCCACCACCTCCTCCGCCTCCCCCCCCAGCTCACACAGTGTCCCACCACACCCAGCCCCCCACCATGTACAAGTACAGCACCATCACCAGGCTGCAGAACCAGAAGTCCTCCGTGAATCATAAACTACCTGGTCACCTCTTCGCCGCACCTCACCAGGTCCTCCCCCGGACTCCGCCTCCACCGACAGCCGAGCTCATCAAGCCCAACGTCAATCACATCGCCGCAAGGACTAACGTCCCGCCTCCTCCTCCGCCTCCGCCGCCACCATCCATGCCGACTCCAGGGTCCGCCATGGCCGTGCTGAGGTTGGGCCCCCTCAGCCCGGTAGCTCCACCTTCCTTCATCCCTGCTTCTCCACCCGCTCCCCAGACAAACGGCGCTGCGTTTCCTCCTCCTCCGTCGCCGCCTCCGGCGTCCTCGGCTCCGATGACTGAAGCGGTCTACGCCACCAGGCACCAGCGGGCTCTGAAGGAGCGGTTTCCGAGCCCGCCAAGGGAACTCTTGTCTCCAAACGGAGACTTCGAGGACTCCCCACCGCCTGCTCCTGCTCCGCCACCGCCTCCTCCGCCCCCGCTTCCCCCTCCCCCTCCTCCGCCTCCTCCGCCACAGCAGTTCCCAGCACTGGCCCAGTTCCCGCCTCCTCCTGGACCCCCACCAGCGCCGCCCAAAACCTACATCCCCGGGTTCGTCCCGCAGCCTGCTCCCAAGCCCATGTCCCCGGTTTCTCCGTTCCCTCCTGCTCCTCCCACCGCCATGAGCCTGGCTCCCCCGCCCCCGCCGCCTCCTCCTCCTCCTCCTCCTGCACTGGGACCTGTGAAGAAGCAGCTCAGCCAGCCTCCTCCCACGCTGCCCAAGCTGAACAGCCTGACCAAGCCCTCGAGCTTCCCCACAGGAGCAGCTCCTGCAGTGTCTTTAGTGAAGCAGCTTGCCAGTCAGTTTCCAGGAGCTTCACCTCAAGCAGCCAATCACATGGAGACCCCCAAAGCCCCCCTCTCCCCTCCTGCTGTGAAGTCCAAACCAAAGTGGCAGCCTGTGGGGAGCCAGCAGCTTCAGTCTTCAGACTTTCCTCCTCCTCCAGCAGAAAGCAGCAACTGCTTCCCTGCACCGCCTCCTCCGCCTCTGCCTCCCCCAGCACCTGTCTCAGGCCCAACCCCCCCGCC